GATATGTGGTCTTGAAGTTGGGCACTAAATAGGGAATTTTACACTGACAAACCTCTGAAACCCTAATTTAGTAACTCTTCCACCTCTTGATTCTTCTTGAATTGATCTTGAAATAACATCTTAGATGTATCATCACAACTACCCATGACTCCAAAGACTTAGAATTGAGTCCTAATCTCCTTCAAATCTACCATGAATCTTGCACTAGGCAGATGAAACCCTAGATGTGCAATCCTTTGACTGCAACCTCTTGCACATGATATAACCACTTGCATAAGCTCCACAATGGCTCTCAAAGCACTAAATGAGCTTCATAACATCTCATATCCACATCCATGAACTTGTGATCTTCTGATGATCTTCACTTGGCCTCCAAGATAGGAGATAAACCAAACACATCCATCTCCTTTCTCAAAGAGTTTTGACCAGCTTATAATGACTTGATGAGAACTCATGCTTGCTTGGAACCTTTGACAAACCTTCTCTTGATATGCACACCTCTCTTGATCCCCTGCAAATGAACAATGATATGCAGTGCAAATGCTAGAACAATGCAGTGAAAACATAAGCCAAGTAAAGAAAAGGTTAGGCAAATTTTGGGGTACAACACTTATACTCACATGTTAAAAGTTCAACCATCAAGTCAGCCTTTCAGTAAGGTCACTGACAACTTTCTCATCCTAAAATTGAGTCCCTGCCTAAAAGACAAGGATTTACTGCAATGATAATGAAGTTAAATAATTGAATAACTTGCCTAAAATTCAGATGCATTTTATGCATATAAAAATTCATGAACAAGAAACGAATCTATACTTGTTGGCATGAAAGTATGTATATAAGTATAAAAAAAACAAATGGCACATTATCCATTATTCATGATATTGTTTCTTGATGACCTAATCAAAAACACGGAGTATGAAAAGATAAAAAAAAAAGTAATCTCCCGAGGTCCTTAGTTGCTCTCCCTCTCAATTTGACGAAGAATAATTTTATTTTTCTTTGATATAGCAGTCTCAATTAACTGCATTAATTGTCTTTCAAAGGCATTGATCTTAGTTTCGTCAATCTCTTTAATGAAAAGTGATAAATAACTGTAAAACAAGTTTACAGCACCAAAACCAGATAGAACAGACATAACAGTAACACCAATGACTCCAATTCTACAAAAGAGTTAAGGCATAATGAAGAAACCTTTATCCATAGATGGCATGTGAAATTGAGTTGTCATTCGCCAAAAAGCATAAAGAAAAATAAACAAAAACAAAAGAGCCTCAAGAGCAGCCCTTTCAGTCCTGAAACCACTATTTTTAAGCATCAAGTAACAATGATAATAAGAGAGAAGAAACACCAATAATAGAATTAACAGAATAAGTAAATCTTCCAGTTCACCACTCTTGCCCTACATAAAAAAATTATAAATCAAACAATACATGACAATATTGAAATCTATAAACTACAAAGAAAAGTTAGGTTAATTTACTAACTCTTTGGAGAGGATGGGAATGATTTCGAAGATGACAAGATGAAGAAGATTGCAAGAGAATGCAAAGATGACGTTGAAGATGATTTGAACGAGGACTAGTTTCTCTTTGTACTCTTTGTAGAGACGATAGTTCAAAAATAATATACCTTTCCATCCAAGTGTACACAGACATCCCAGCAGCATCGAACCTTCTAAACACACATTAATACTAACCACAAGATTATTTCAAACTCATAGACAAAAACCATATCATTGTAATCATAAATTCACTGAGAACAACAATTCAACAAACAACTAGCATTTACCATCAATTTTTTTTAGACATTTAATCAAACAACTATCATTCACCATCACATTCTTTTAGACATTTAATCAAATAGCTAGCATTCACCATCAAAGTACTTCATACATTTAATCAAACAACTAACATCCATAATAAAAAATCTAACAATTATTAAGTATAACATGTGATTATGTCGACATGCAATAAATTCGCAGAGGATTCATAAGTGAGAAATACCTACAATGATGAATGTTACTAAATAAGAACTTTGATGGTGAGACATTTGTGGTGGAAAACGATGATAAGGATTCATGATAATGAGATGCTTACATAATTCTGTAATATGATATACCCTTGTGCTTCCTTTCCCTTCATAGAAAACCCTAAATAAAAAAATTGTGATATTAAGAAAGTAATTTCAAGTAGAATTCAAGAGGGGTTAGAAGACCTGTTGTTTCAAGGAAGTACCATGGCAAAGAAGTCTTGAGTTCTCTTGTAAGGATAATTGAGATTTAGTGTTTCCCGAATCTCACAGTAGTAAGCTTATGGCGACAAAGTGGTCTTTTTGTATTAGAGAGAAGGTCAAGGGTTTCACAAAGAAGGTTTTGATAATCCAAGTTGCAATTGAAATGGTAACCCTCGATTTTGAGAGAATTGCAATTGAGATGATAAACCTCAATTTTGAGAGAAGATAACAAGAACTCAATTAGGTCGAGGGTGAAAGTGCTTTTGGTGAAAGACATTGAAGTTGGACAATCGTAATAATATGGAAAAAAAAAACAGGGTAATTTTTCTTTTAAAATTTGGTAAAAAAAACCTAAAGTAGCGCTTTTAGGGATCCATTTTGTTAGCGCTCACTATAAAAGCGACATTAAACTTCTTTGAAATTTATCATTTTTTTTGTTAACAACCCATGATAGCGTTTCGTAAAAAACGCTATTATATAGTGGACCTTATAATAACGCCCGACTAAAAAGCGCTATCATAGGTCATCATATGAAAGTTTTAATAGCACTTTATGAAAATGCGCTATTAAAGTTCTACTATTATAGACTAAAATTATAGCAGTGTCTCCTTTTCTCTCTCTTTTAAATCCTTATTTTCTCTCTATCTCTCTCAAACATAAATTGATCATCTCCACTTAAATAAGTGAGACAAATGGACTAATCATATTTGGGTATTTCTCCACATGAAAAGGGAGCCCAAACGTAATACTTATGAACGATAATGTAGAAAAATAAAAGTGCATGATTGTAAATGAGACAAAAGAATTATACTAGTTTCCCTAATAACAAATGGTACGTCTAATCCCTTCACACCCCGTGAAGGATTTCACTTAGTTAGATCTTTGTACAACCTCACACCAAGAATCTCTTGCAATCTTCTAAAACACTTTTTGTTTTACAAACAATCTCAAGAAAGCACACCACTCTCTTTTATTACACACAATTTATCACCACACACTTTGATGGTTAAGTCACAAGAAACTCTTAAAATAATTTGAAGAAATATATTCTTATTTTGAATCCAAAACTTTATCCTTGGATCTTCTCTTTGAATATGTTACAATTCAAACTATGACAATTCAAGTGCTGAGAATAATGAACAAAAAACTTTGGATGACGCGAAAATTAATGCACAAAGTTTTTAATGAATGAGCATTTGATAGTATGTTTGAATTGATATGAATTTTTTGAATGTTGGAAAGAGGTATATATGAATTTTGAAAAGTGCATCTTATATATATCATGAATCATTGTCACGAAGAAATGCATATTTTTTTAAAAACCATTCATAAAGCATTACATTGATTTTTAAATCTTGAAAATTGATGTAATGCAACTATTTATATTTTATCAAACTATGAATCAATGTAATGATTGGAGAACATTTTGATTTTGAAAAAAAATTGGTTTCAAGTTGGTATTCGAATACCATAATGTGCTATTTGAATACCACATCCAAAATATGTTTATATTTTGAAATTTGAAATTCGATATTTAGATACTATATATGATATTTGAATATCACCCTTAATAATATGAAAAAAATATATTCCGAGAATGTAAAAGAAGATAAAATTATACGATATTGTATCAATAATTTTATATAAAAAACGGTACCCGAAAAGCTTGAAAAATTTGAATTTTATTCCTATGATATTCAGATATCATATTTGGTACCATTTTTTAATAAGCTTTAAAAGTACAATTTTAAAAATAGTATGATGCACACATTTGAATAATAATGTAAGAAATCTGTAGACAAAGTGAATCATGATTTTTTTAAGTATTGAAATGTCTTATAGAATAAATTGCAACAAATATTTATTATCTCTCGATTTTCAAAACATGTGAAGGAGATTCAAGGTGAAAAAGATTTAGAGCTGCTAATTTTTTTAAAAATTATATTCATAACATTTAGGTTTACTTTATATAAAATCTGATATTTATAATCATTTTGTAGTTTTCTTAATTCACATGATCAATAATGACATTTAAAATATTAGCACACATAGATTGTGATTATGTAAAGTACATATTTAGAATTACCAAAAAAAAGATAAAAGTAGAAATTCTAGTAGGAGGACAACATAAAAAATAAAAAATAAAAAACTATGAATAAAAAACAATTAAAAGTAACTTTTTTTTCCCTTATAGCATTAAATTGTGATTATGAAAAAAATAAAAGATGTGCCTTCCTTAATTCCTTTGTCCTCCTTTTTGGTTGCTTAAGAATTAAGACTAATGAATTCTCTCTTCACTTTCCTCTTTCACATTTTCTTCCATACAATACAAGTACTTCTCTTTTCTCACATCAATATATATATCTTATCATAGAACCGACTTTATTTAAGATTTAGACACGTCACATTTAGATTGAGTTACATAGTATCTTTCAGTGTACCATCCCGCACCGAATAATTTCTCAACCTCCATGAAAATCGCAACAAAACATTGAATGTTAGTGAAGTTCCAATATCATCCTATCTCAACCTACACGCCACTCCAAGTCCAAGGAAGTGAAGAATAAGAATAACTTTCTCATTCTTTCCAAGGTAATCTTTCTTCTTCTTCTTCTTCATGCAATGCAAATTTGAAAAAGAAAAAAAAGCAAAGTATTTTCTTAATTAAGGGTTGAACTTGAACCTTTGATGCTGTGATAGTTTATTTATTAGGGATTATATTTAACCATTTTGTAACCATAATTTTTGTTCTTCATGTTGTAGGAACCATGGGAGGGAAAATTGGACTGGTGTTTGTTGTGATACTTGGTGTTGTTGCATTGGATTGTGATGCTAGAGGGTTATCAAGTCCTTATCAGTTGGGCATTTTTGCTGCAAATTCTGCTTCTTCTGGTAGTTTTATTGATTGATGTGTTGTTCTTGTTTGCATTTTGTTACAGTGGAGACATGTCTTGTATTGTGCATTGTGCAATGTGGAACTTTTGTTTTATTAAAAAGTGTTGGTGAAGGGGAAAAAATTTCAAGAATTCATAGATTGTTTGTAGATTTTACATTTTGGTTAAGGGTTTGTTTAGATTGGCTTCTTTTGGCTTATCTAGGGTAGTGGCATAAGCACTTGTGACTGTGATTGGGTAAGAGTGTGTATGGAAATAACTTATGATATGTCTGTAAGTTGTTTTTACGTTATTTCCATAAGCTTCTGGGGGTAGCTTATGAATACAATTTTAATAGTATTTTGTTTGAAAACAATTTGACTTTATTTTATCTTTTATTATAGAAATAGCTTGTACAGAAGCACTTATATGTTAAGGGTCTACCTAAGTTGTTTATAAAAGCAGTGCTTAAAATAGGTTGATAATATAGATTATTGACATATTGTAAGGTATTTTCTTAATAAGTATATACTACCGCTGGTATAGGTTTTATGTCATGAGATATTCCAAATAAGCTCTTCTAAATGCTCCATTGGTACTAAAGTTGCTAATTTGTCGATAAAGTAAGAGGTTATATGAAAGGTTTTCAAGTTTTCATCAGATAATTGATGAAAAATTGGATTGAATGACCTTCATGTGAAAATCTTTAATACTTGCAAGATTTTGTTTGTTTGTTAAATACACTTTGAAATTCAAATGTGGCGTGAGTAGGTTGTTTTATTTACTTATCTATATATTGCAGAGCTAGTGAGGATACCGGATGTATGTGCACTTTGTGAGGAATATACTACCAAGGCACTTGATTATATAAATGAAAACAAGACTCAGAGTGAGGTCATTGATATTCTTCACAACACTTGTCATCAGCTTCACACTTTTGAGAGAAAGGTTGGTCACATTTTAGACCTTTTGTTTTGGTTTAGATACTTTTTTCAGTATGTGGCATTGACACTTCAACTGAAGGCGTGTCCGGTTTTTGACACATGTGACTATGTTCAACTACTTCTATATTCTCAAATTATTGTTGAAGTGGTCGTGTCTAGTGTTAGCATCTGTGTTGGTGCTTCATAGGTGCACAAGTTAATCAATCATAACTTATTCGAAGCTATATGAATTCATGTGTTTCTTATGAATTTCAGTGCGTAAGTTTGGTGGACTATTATTTGCCACTTTTCTTCTTAGAAATGACCTCAGTTCAGCCTGGAGATTTCTGCAATAAGGTCAACCTCTGCCAGAACATTGCTAACATTTCCTTACAATTTCAAGAAAACAGCTGCGAGTTTTGTGAAGATACTGTTTCAAAACTATTGGACAAGATAAAAGATCCTGACACAGAAGTAAGTTATTTCATCTTGGTGCTATATTGTTCAAATTAGACTCTCTTTCATGTAGGAAAATCCATGATTTGCAGCCAAACGAAAATAATTTTGATAGTAATTGATTAGCATATAAAAGTATCTGATCAATCTAGATCACGATCTCAATCATTTAGTTCATTCTATTTTTGATTGAAATTACATTTTATGAAATGAAATGCTAACCTTTTTTATTTTAAAATATCAGCTAGAGATAATCGAGACACTACTGAAAGTATGCAGTTCACTGGACAAGTATGCGAGCAAGGTAAGAAAAATTTGATAGTTACACCTCATAGAGAAACAAACTCAACGACTAAAATAGGCATAAGAATGTAATTGTCCTAATGAACTTTTTTTATCATCCACTAATTTAGTTTTTTCGGTTACTCTTTGAAAATGTTTGCAGTGCAAGAGGGTTGTTCTAGAGTATGGTCCCTTGGTATTTGAAAATGCAGAGAAATTTCTGGAGAAGACAGATATATGCACTGCATTACATGCTTGCAAGGATTCAAATGTAGTTGGCAGAGGATTTCTTTCTGACCTCTTAGGTATTTATTATGGGAGTAATATTTTTATGAGGATGGTGCATTTGTTGAAGATTGCTCTATTTTGAGAGAAAAAAGAGTGATTAACATTTGAGACATTTACTAATGTAAAGTATTAGCACATCATAAAAAATGTTTCTTCCTAAGAAGTGCTTGTGACATAATCAACCTTGTGTAATACATTATTGAAGTCAACCTAAGTTAAATTTCCAATGATTAGTATAATATATTGTTCATTTTGAAAGCATGCTATTGCTACTTGTTTGAGAATAATTTCCCTTTATTTCTTCAGTCTTTTATACTTTCAATTCTTTACTCATGTTGTATCCTTCAGCTTGATTCATGAGTATGTTATGTTGCAATTCTCTGTCCAAAATTTACATACTTCTAAAAAAAGGGGTCCCCTACTCGGTAACCACTCCTAATCCCAACATGACCAAGAAAAAACAGCTAATCCACCTTACAATTTAGGATATTGGCTGCCTCTTGCATCCAGCAGTGGCAGATGTTTTATGTTGATGATGTAGCTCTTCTAAAAGTCGATTTTTAGGCTCAATATCATCTGAAATAACATCAAATTTACTTTCGCGATCCTAACGTTCTCCCACTATTTTCACCTATTATTAGTGTGCTCGCGTATTGTAGATGTGAAAAACTTTCTTCTCCTCTTTCAAACTTGTATTTTGAGAATTTACTCAACTTGATAGACCTTTTAACGAGACAATTGACTTTTTTTGCCACAATTAGGAAAATGAAAGGCGACTATAGTCCCCTCATTTTAAATATTTTTCTATATTGAACTTATTAATAGGGATGTCATTCATCTACATGGAAACCGATGGCAGACTTCAAACATTCTAAAGTCTATTTCCTCTATTTTCATGAAACCCCATCTTAAACATCACACAATCTAAGAAATTTCAACCCAGAGTGTCACAAGCCTTTTAAATATCTCCCTTGAACATAAACACTTACTTTTTTTCTCTTATGTTTGAATTCATCTACAATTCCGTTTTCTATTAGAATAACATAAAAAATTTATCTTCTTGAAATGAAAGTTGATTGTGTGTCCGAGATAACTCTTATGAGAGATTTTCACTAGGAAGCATTGAACATTGTGAGACTTCTTTTTCATGAGAAACACCTTTGTGAGAGACACACCACATACTCACCCAAAACTTTAAGGTGATAAGTGTATGAATTCTCTCATTTATAAAATGCTCAAATTACCACATTCCTATCCAATGTGGGACTATTATTCACACTACTCACACTTGTTATACTAAACATTCCCCTTCAAGTATGAGTCTATCCACAATGCTTCTACAATGCTCCCCCTTAAGCGGAAGCTTCAACTGTGCAACTGCACTTTCTGTTGTGTGTTTCTCGCATGAGTCTATCCACAATGCTTCTACAATGCTCCCCCTTAAGCGGAAGCTTCAACTGTGCAACTGCACTTTCTGTTGTGTGTTTCTCGCTCACCACCCTTGTACCCCGTTGACACTCTTCAACGAAACACCTTCTAACCACCACCTGTGGGGAGTACTTTCAATATAAGTGAGTCGGTCCTTCACTCAAACCAAAAGCTCATGATACCACTGTTAGGAGAGATTTTCACTAGTGAGTATCGAACATTGTGGAACTTCTTTTTCTTGAGCAACATCTTTGTGAGAGACACACGATATACTCACCCAAAACCTTAAGGTGATAGGTGTATGAGTTCTCCCACTTATAAAATACTCAAGTTACCGCATTCATATCCAATGTGGGGCTATTATCCACACTACTCACACTTGTTATACTTAACAATAACTAACCCAATCACTTTTTTGAGCCAGTGTATCAAAACATTTGCAATAACCTTATAAATGTAGTCTATCAAAGAAATTTGTCTAAAGTCACGTAGTTTTCTAAGGTTCTTTTTCTTTGGATTTATTAAAAACGTATTTTTGTATGTAATTTATGTGTCAAATAAGATCACACCAAGTGTATATTTATACGCATATAAACAGTACACAATAGGTAATGTGATAATTATAATTTATATAATATTAAAACTAATCATTGCTAATTGATTCTAATCAATGGTAATTGATCACATACTTGTCAAAAAATACATGTGTTTGTGGTATCCCTACAAGGGTGGGGGATACTAAGGAATCTTAGTAGGTTTATAATAGTTAAGACTTGCCCGCGACAGTGGGAGGTCATGTAAGTTATGGTCTCCCTCTCACCTTCTAGGGGTGACGTATTTTTAGAGACTCTCTTGGGCATGAGTTAAAATGTTAGTAGGCAGTTATGCCCTAGCTCTATGACCCAAAACCTAGTCAAGGTAAGACTTGTTCTTCCTAGAATCATGGAGGAAGTAATCCACATTTGACTTGCTCTTTGGATTAGGTATCTTAACCTAAGTCTAATAAGAGGGTTTATCCCTTCATTGGACTACCAAGTGCTAGCCCTGGGGGTGACTTTCCCCTTGTTTGAGCTTCAAGGTGCTAGCATTGGGGAGACTTCTGCCCCTTCTTTGGGCTACTAGTTTCTAGCCTTGGGGGAGGGGAGGCCCACACCCCTTCTTTGGGATATTACATACTAGCCCCATGAAAGGAGACTCTCACCATTTCTTTGGAGTGTTAAGTACTAGCTTCAGGGGGAGGCTCCCGCCCTTTCTTTGGGTTTTCAGGTACTAGCCCTAGCGTGAGTCTCTTACCCTTTCTTTGGGCTACAAGGTGCTAGCCCCGGGGGGCGGCCTCCCCCTTATTTGGGTGTTATCCCTCCTTTAGATCCTAGCCCCTTTTTGGGTACTCCTTATTAAGGCCCAATAAAATATATCACTAGAGATCCTAACATATTTTTAATACTCTCTGTCAAGTCGGATCTTATATGTCATATGAGACAAGCTTATTACAAATATAATCTACTTGAGAGCCGTTGATTGACTTAGTAAAAAATATTGACCAATTGGTCTTCAGACTTGACGAAATATGTGGTTATTTCTCCTGAAAGTACATTGTCTCTTAAATAATGACAAGTCTCATATCCGTCAGTGATCCGGACCAGTCGACATCTGAATAACAAGTGATTTTAGAATCACCCTTATTTTCATATAATAGTCCTCTTCAGGGTGCATTCTTTATATATCTAAGATTTTGCATAATTGCATCCTAATGACTATCAGAAGGAGTGTTTAGGAATTAACTCACAATGCTCACTACAAATGTAATATCTGGAATAGTGACTGTAAAATAATTGAGTCTACCCATAAGATGCAGATATCTTCTCGGGTCTTTAAATGACACCTCCTGGTCCAGAAGAAGCTTAATGTTGGGATCCATATTAGTATCAATAGGACATCAATTAAGCATACAAGTTTCACTTAGGATGTCTAATGCATAGTTGTGTTGGTTGATTGCAAGGCCTGCTGAGGACTTGTCAAATTCAATGCCTAAGAAGTATATGAGTGGGCCCAAGTCTTTTATTTACAAGTTTTTGAAAATATAAGTTTTGAGTCATTGAATATCATTTGGGCCATCTCCACTGATAACAATATCATTAACATAGACCACAAGAAAGATACGTCGACCGATGGAGGAATGAAGGAGGAAAAAAGAGTGATATGTTTCACATATAATCATACCAAATTGTATTAAGGCAGAGCCAAGGCAACCAGTCTAAGAATATGGAGACTATTTCAACCAATAAAGAGAACAACGAAGCCGACAAACAAGTTTAGAATTTCCCAGAACAGTTAAACCTAGAGTTTGATCCATATAAACTTCATCCTCTAACTCTTTGTGTAAAAAGGAATTTTCAATGTCCAACTGATGAAACGACCAATGATGAATGATAAACATCACAATAAAGAGGCAAATTGAACTGATCATGGCTACCAGAGAAAAAGTGTCACCATAATCGACACCAAAATATTTGTGTGTAACCTTTAGCTATCATACGAGCTTTTAAGCGATCAATCTGACCATCTGGTCCAGCCTTTATTGTATAAACCCGTCGACATCCTACTGTATTTTCTATGGAGGTAAATAGACAATGTCCCAAGTGTTATTTGAATGTAATGCAACCATAGATTCACTTGTAGATTTAAAGATAAACGTAAAATCCAAAGCATAAATAAAAGAAACATAGGAAGTAAATAGACGAACATAGTCTAAAGCATAATTGTATTTCAATTTTTGATGGAAATACCAAATACCTTTTCGTAATGCTATTGGAAGTTCAAGTGCAGGTGACATAACTAGAGGAGGAGTTGGAGCAAGAGATGGCGTTGGTGGATCAATATCATCTTTTACTTTTGATGGACAATGTGTTTGGCACTGGTAAACACGCAATGGACGTGTAGGGGTTTCACTGGGTGCAGGGGTGATAGAAGGGATCTCTCGAACATCTGAAGTACATTTCTCATCAAGTGACATAGAGGCAGTGAAAAATGGGGAAGTTTCAAAGAATGTGGCATAAGAGGAAACAATATATTGTTGAAATTGGGGAAAATGCAATAATATCCTTTTTGAATATGTAAGTATCCTAGAAAAATACATTTGAGAGATTTGGTAGAAAGTTTGTCTTTACCTGAATCGAGGTCATGGAAAAAGCATGTGAAACCATACAAACTAATAGGAATCTGATCTTGAAAGATCGAGGAAGGATTTTGGTTGATTAGGTGACAAGTTGTAAGAAAAGCATCACCTCTAAAACGAGAAGGGATATTATGGTGAAGTAAAAGAGTTTGTGCAGTTTCAACTAAATGATGATTCTTCCGTTCAACTACACTATTTTGTTGTGGTTTGTGAGCACATGATGATTGATGAATAATTCACATGCGATGTTAAAAAATTGAAACAGAGATGACATATATTCACGAGCATTATCAGTGCGTAAAATTTTAATGGAAGTGTCAACGTGTTTTTAATTTCGGCATACAATTCTTCGATTATATAGAAAATATCTTAACGATTTTTCATTAAAAATAACCAAGTACATCTTTAAAATCATCGATGAAGTTTACAAAGTAATATTAACCTAAAGTTGACTTAACACGAATAAGACCCTAAATATC